GCATTGGAGGTAAGGCCTCCCATGAATATGAAATAAAACAGAATCAAGGCCGCTCTTGATTTCATTGCATTTTTGGATCATTCCTCTGTTATTAAACTGCTGCATAAAACCTGTCAAATCTGTTTAGCAGTGCTATTATTTCGAGCTTATCTCTACTTTAATAAAGGTCCAGTTACAGGGCAGGTCAACACTGGGAAAGGTAGGACAGCCACCAGCAGGTCTTATGGGGGTAGTGCTAAAATCTGAAGATTTAAAATCATTAAAAAGTCTACACATTACCCCAAAGCTATGTTAAATTGTTGGGTTTACTATGAGCATTGCCACTTTTTTTCTCAATCCTACTGTAGGCATAGATGTCAGTTTATTCATGAGTAGTAGCGTAGTATAAACTGTATAGCGTCTTTTGACTTAGGGGTGTGTTGATTATTATTTTTACATTTACTTGTAACCTAGTAAACTTTTACTGATTACTCTCTCATTTGATGGCCATTTACTAAGCATTTCTGAAACAATCCTACAAATAACTTGCTTACTCATTTGAACTGTGTCAGAAAACTGAGTCTTGCCAAGAGTCTGAGAAATATTGTAGATCTTCCTACCCCTTGTCTAGACATGCAAATAAAACAGAGAGTTGGTAACAGGGAGTGAACACACAATATGTAAAAATGACATAATCATTCCTGAGACTATAACTCCTGCCAAAGTTGACATTAGGTGGTCACTGGTAGTCCAAATCTTTCTAAAATGGCCATAAACATTTAGTTTTTGTTTCAGAGCAACAGAATTTCCCAATAAACGATTTAATCCAGGCATTCCAAATAATCTGATGAAACCTTTTCTTGAGTTCCGAACCACCATATTTAAAACTTTTAGAGGGAATACCATCTTTCATTATAGCTCTATACTGACTGGTTTTGACAGTTCTAAAGCAACACGTCCATGCGCATCTGTGATTTCTTTTTCAGAGACTCATTAAAACATTGAGTTCAGTGGGCAAGGATGCCTCATTGGTCACAGATTATAGGGCCACCTTTGGAACTTGGAATACTTTGTTTGAATCCATCTCTTTTAAAATGTGTTTATTCCCCTGTAGGTATTGAAAGTTTCATCTGAATTTCAATTTGCAGCAAATTGAATCCCATATGTCTAAAACTGGGCATGTTTAAAAAATAAAGAAGTAGATCAATAAATAACAATACTGATACCAACCCTGTACCCCCTCCCTCCCTCACTCTGTAGCTTGTTTCCTATTATAAATGTTCATTTAAATCCAATAATATTTACTTTAATCCATGGTCCTGTGATCTTCCTCCCAGTCAGTTCCTTGTGGTGATGAGCAGTCCAGTAAAGCTGCTCTGCATGTTGGTCTCCACCCAGTCTTGTTTCCTCCCCCATTGTCAACATCTTCTTGCCTGCAATGTAATCAGTGCAGGACCAGGGTCCACATCATTAGAATGGAAGTACTGTTCTCATTCCAGCCCTAAAGAGCAGAGAACTGGGACATGGCACCATGGATTAAGGTAAGCGATACTGGATGCTAGAACAGGTATTTTAAATATCAAACTCAAAAAGGGGTAAGTGAGCGCAAATCACAAAATAGCAGCTAGCACACAAGGCAATCCTCAACACCAAAAAATAAAATATAACAAATGGTATGCAGCGCTAAATGATATAACAAACATCAATGTAACTATAGCAACAATAAATGGATGAGACGATAAACCATCAATCAAACTTTAAATTGTTCCATATAAATAAAGATGAGAAATAAACAAATGTCACAGTGGAAACGGATATATAAAATCCAATCAGGCTTGTGGACGGACCGGTAAATAATTGCGCTTACCACAAAGTACAAACAGAACGTTGTATGTATAATGATGCATGTAAGACTCCCAGGAATCGTGGAAAGCCTCTCCAAGGTCATCTCTAGTTGGTTAGTACTTCTCTGGATCGCTCCACAGTTAGGGTCAGCCGAAGAGGTTCCCTGTGTGTGATCAATGGCGTCTGTAGGGTGGATCCCCTAACATGTTTCGAACGCTCGTTGTCAAAGGGGTGGATCCTATCCAAGGACGCCTCTATTTAAAAGTTACCGCGGTCGCGCATGCGCAGTGAGCACCTCGCGCCGCTTCAAATCAATAGCGCATGTGCGGGTGACGTCACCCCGTCAAACATCGCCGGACCACAACGTGCATGCGTAGGCATGCGTAGGTAAAATATGGGGAACACTTTTTTATTTGTTGATCAACACCTTATCCAAGAACTAGGAATGTTGGGTACTGAGCATGGAATCCAACATACTGCACAGCAGTGTACTCCAATGTGCTCATTGACCACCATACCATCTGTGATAGCAGAGGAGATGTTGTCTGGCCTTGAGTGTGCAGCACACAGCAGATAGGTATTTAAACTGGATTTCTACATAAGCATGTATAAATATATATGGAAATTACAGAACATAATTTAAGAGCAAAAAAAGAGAGGAGCTTTGTCTGGATGAGGAAATGCAAATATGATTCATGTAGACAGTTCTAGTGATAACGTATTTAGAAACGGTCAACTTAGATGTGATTTATGGAGATGATGATAAACAGGGAAAAGTTTCTGGCCTGTAGTAGAAATAATTTATGCTATCTCTTATCCATCTTAATAGCACATAATGCCTCTGTTTGCTGGAGCTTATTTTAGAACCGGAATTGTGCGTCGCAATCTGTGTTATTATTTTTTCCAATCATTTTTGTTTTCCTAAGGGAAAAATTGGAGTTTGTGAAGTCTGATAGCTCTTCCAGACTGAGACAATATTTACTGTTCAAAAAACCATAAAGAACATTATAGATTTTAGCAGAAAGCCATATTGTGGTGTTTAATTGCAAGACCTCAAGACATAAAGGAAATAGCTGAAGTTCTTAATGGATTTTTTTTTTCAGGGATTTGTACATGCAAAGGAAGAACTGTAGGCAAAATTCTTAAATCACTAATGAATGTACAGTATGAGTAACTTTTTTGTATAGATTCTCAGTCTCAAAGAAAGAGTGCCAGGGATTTGAGCTTGTAACACAAAAGAAACTTCCGATGATGTCCTTTCTTAACCCAAACTTGTTTCCCCAGGGAGCCTTTGATTTTTTTCAAAACTGCTTTCCATTCCATACAAGACAATGGCATTGCATGAGAGCTTAGAAGGAGGTCAAACAGTCCTCAGAAGACAGTCAAATGCAGGTCAATAGCACCTATCAATGAACTCTGAATGCTCCCAAAGACACATTGAACTGATGTCAATGCAACTAGAATGCACCTGAAAGCATACTGCACTTGCCCATTAACACCCAAGCTAAACATCACAGAACCCTTACAGGTTAGAAGTTGGAAATCTCAAGTAATGTGCAACTTAGAGGTGAAAATTGGACCAAGAAAACCTGTGAAGGGACTAATGAGAGCTTTTATTCCCACTGCCAACAGTACTAAAGCAGATGTATGAGGCATATTTATCTTGGCGCTTTAAACCTTGGATTGGGACTAGGACCATTTGGCATCATATGAAGTACAGATGTGTTCGTTGGGAAAATTTTGTTTCATTTCAGATTCATTCATTAAGTTAATCATTTCATTTAATCGTATTCGTTATGTTAGAATGATTTGTATTTCGAATTTGTTTTGTATATTCAGATTCATTCCATATATTCGTTATTTGCAAATCAAATCAAATTTAGAATTCCGGAAGATGGCTATATTCATTCTATTTTACTCTATTCTATTCTTTTTTATTCTATTCTATTCTTTTTTTAACTATTATAATCTATTCTGTTTTATTCTATTCTTTTCTATTTCTCTTTCTATTCTCTTTGCTTGTTTTCTGGTTTATTCTATTCCATTCTTTTCTATTCTATAAACAATCCTAAAGTAGGAATCGTCATCTCATTTTACTTTTATTTCTTAATGTATTTATTACAATATGTTTCTATTTCAAATTCAAATTCATTTTTGAATTTGGATAATTAGTTTCATTATTTAGAAAAAAAACCTCCTGCGCTAAAATGGGGCCCTATTGCTATAGCTGCTGACACTAACCTCTTACCAATGTGAGTCAATAAATATTATATATAAACAGTGCAGCGCTAAAAATAATATAAATGCATAAACATTAGAATAAATAAATAAATAATATAAATTAGTGCAAACAACCCCCAATGTGCAAAGGGGTAAAACTCCTATAAAGTGCAACATGTGTATTCCCTGTGGGAATAATAAAAGTGCCAAAGTGGTATGCCAAAACTAAATAAATCTAAAGTCGCTCAAATGTGATATATGCAAATATCACATTTGAGCAAATTTAGATTTATTGAGTTTTGGCATACCACTTTGGCACTTTTATTATTCCCGCAGGGAATACACCTGTTGCACTTTATAGGAGTTTTACCCCTTTGCACATTGGGGGGTTGTTTGCACTAATTTATATTATTTGTTTATTCTAATGTTTATGCATTTATATATTATTTTTAGCGCTGCACTGTTTATATATAATATTTATTGTTTCATTATATTTTACTTTGGATTCATTCAAATTTGTTACTATTGTTATTTGGAAATTCAGATACATCCAAATCTGCCCATAGTTGGATTAAGCCATAGATGCATCCATCTATGGCCGGCTTAACTCTTCCCAACTCTTTCCAAAACAAACAAAAAAGGTTTTGCCTTTCCATATACTTTAAGGTAAGAGTTTGAGTGGTAAAGCCCTCCAGACACAGCCCCTCACTCTGAAAATGTAGGAAACATAATAATGGTTCTCAACTAGAGATGAGCGAATTATTTAAAAATTTGATTCGACTGATTCGGTGAATTTGTGAAAAAATTTTGATTCGAGTCGAATATATTCGCTGCAAATTTAACTTATAAAAAGGGTGTTTCTAGGCTTCAGAGAGCCTTTATATTAGTGCAGAACACTGTACCTTTAATTTAAATGCCCTTGGAGTCTGCTGGGGAAGAGAAATAATACTATCAGTCAGTATGACATGCAGATGAGTGCCGTCGATCTTAGAATCACCGCACACGTCACTCATTTGGGCAGTCACGGGGCCAAAACCAGAGTGTGGAGCCACAGTGTGGCGGTGGAGGCAGCAGCAATGGGAGGCCATACAGCACCCTATGACAAAATGGAACCCACCAGCAGTGTGAGGGGACCTGAAAGTGGCACATGGCAGAGTGTGGCGATGGAGACAGCAGCAATGGGAGGCCGTACAGGGACCCATGAGACACTCTGGACCTGGCAGCAGCATGAGGAGGCGGTACGGGGGCCCATGGCAGATTACAGGTCTGGCAGCAGCAATGGGAGGCCGCACAGGGACCCATGACACACTCTGGACCTGGCAGCAGCATGAGGAGGCGGTACAGGGGCCCATGACAGATTACGGGCCTGGCAGCAGCATGAGGAGTCGGTACAGGGGCCCATGACACACTCTGGACCTGGCAGCAGCATGAGGAGGCGGTACAGGGGAGCATGACAGATTACGAGCCTGGCAGCAGCAACTTGGACAGGAGGACGTTCAGCTTCTGCACCGTCGGGTGCGTGCTCGCAAACTGTTGTCTCTTGGAAAACGGATTCCAAGAAAGACTGCTGACGGAATCCGTGAAGAGGAGTAGCAGGAGAAGGAGCATCTGAACGAGCGGAATATGCCAACAAGCGACAACAGGGGCCCATGACAGATTACGGGCCTGGCAGCAGCATGAGGAGTCGGTACGGGGGCCCATGGCAGATTACGGGCCTGGCAGCAGCAATGGGAGGCCCATACAGCACCCTATGACAAAATGGAAACCCACCAGCAGTGTGAGGAGACCTGAAAGTGGCACATGGCAGAGTGTGGCGATGGAGACAGCAGCAATGGGAGGCGGTACAGGGACCCATGAGACACTGTGGACCTGGCAGCAGCATGAGGAGGCTGTACAGGGGCCCATGGCAGATTAAGGCCTGGCAGCAGCAATGGGAGGCCCGTAATCTGCCAGCACCCCTATGACAAAAATGGAACCCTGGGCTGGGGCAGGCAGAACCGCCGTATCGTTTATCTTTATCACGGTTTTCCCAGGCCACCGAATGGCGACGCTGCATATGCTGACGCAACGCTGTAGTACCAACATGGGCCCCTTGGCCACGCTTGACTTTCTGGCCACATAGTTGACATACGGCTACGTTTACTTCCTCGGGCGGCTTGACGAAAAATTGCCACACCCGCCTAGTAGGAAACTTTGCCCCCGCTACTCCTCACTGTGCTGACTGCTACTTCCTCTGTGCACACCGGCACCACTACTGGCCGTGGTGGTAGGCTGCAGTGGAGCTGGTGCTCTACTCCGTGGCCGTTTGCCTCCACTGACACTGCTGCGACCCCCTGCTGCCTCCTGGCAGCAGCAATGGGGAGGAGGAGGCGGTACGGGGGGCCCATGGCAGATTACGGGCCTGGCAGCAGCAATGGGAGGCCCGTAAATCTGCCAGCACCCTATGACAAAAAATGGAACACACCAGCAGTGTGAGGAGACCTGAAAGTGGCACATGGCAGAGTGTGGCGATGGAGACAGCAGCAATGGGAGGCCGTACAGGGACCCATGAGAGACTCTGGACCTGGCAGCAGCATGAGGAGGCAGTACGGGGGCCCATGGCAGATTACGGGCCTGGCAGCAGCAATGGGAGGCCCGTAATCTGCCAGCACCCTATGACAAAAAAATGGAACACACCAGCAGTGTGAGGAGACCTGAAAGTGGCACATGGCAGAGTGTGGCGATGGAGACAGCAGCAATGGGAGGCCGTACAGGGACCCATGAGAGACTCTGGACCTGGCAGCAGCATGAGGAGGCGGTACAGGGGCCCATGGCAGATTAGGGGCCTGGCAGCAGCTATGGGAGGCCCGTAATCTGCCAGCACCCTATGACAAAAAATGGAACACACCAGCAGTGTGTGAGGAGACCTGAAAGTGGCACATGGCAGAGTGTGGCAATGGAGACAGCAGCAATGGGAGAGGCGTACAGGGACCCATGAGACACTGTGGACCTGGCAGCAGCATGAGGAGGCGGTACAGGGGCCCATGGCAGATTAGGGGCCTGGCAGCAGCAATGGGAGGCCCGTAATCTGCCAGCACTCTATGACAAAATGGAACACACCAGCAGTGTGAGGAGACCTGAAAGTGGCACATGGCATGACACACTGGGACCTGGCAGCAGCATGAGGAGGCGGTACAGGGGCCCATGGCAGATTAGGGGCCTGGCAGCAGCTATGAGAGGCCCGTAATCTGCCAGCACCCTATGACAAAAAATGGAACACACCAGCAGTGTGAGGAGACCTGAAAGTGGCACATGGCAGCAGAGTGTGGCGATGGAGACAGCAGCAATGGGAGGCCGTACAGGGACCCATGAGAGACTCTGGACCTGGCAGCAGCATGAGGAGGCGGTACAGGGCCCATGGCAGATTACGGGCCTGGCAGCAGCAATGGGAGGCCCGTAATCTGCCAGCACCCTATGACAAAAAAAAGGAACACACCAGCAGTGTGTGAGGAGACCTGAAAGTGGCACATGGCAGAGTGTGGCGATGGAGACAGCAGCAATGGGAAGCCGTACAGGGACCCATGAGAGACTCTGGACCTGGCAGCAGCATGAGGAGGCAGTACAGGGGCCCACGGCAGATTACGGGCCTGGCAGCAGCAATGGGAGGCCCGTAATCTGCCAGCACCCTATGACAAAAAATGGAACACACCAGCAGTGTGTGAGGAGACCTGAAAGTGGCACATGGCAGAGTGTGGCGATGGAGACAGCAGCAATGGGAGGCCGTACAGGGGACCCATGAGACACTCTGGACCTGGCAGCAGCATGAAGAGGCGGTACAGGGGCCCACGGCAGATTAGGGGCCTGGCAGCAGCAATGGGAGGCCGTAATCTGCCAGCACCCTATGACAAAAAATGGAACACACCAGCAGTGTGTGAGGAGACCTGAAAGTGGCACATGGCAGAGTGTGGCGATGGAGACAGCAGCAATGGGAGGCCGTACAGGGACCCATGAGACACTGTGGACCTGGCAGCAGCATGAGGAGGCAGTACAGGGGCCCATGGCAGATTAGGGGCCTGGCAGCAGCAATGGGAGGCCCGTAATCTGCCAGCACTCTATGACAAAATGGAACACACCAGCAGTGTGAGGAGACCTGAAAGTGGCACATGGCATGACACACTGTGTGACCTGGCAGCAGCATGATGAGGAGGCGGTACAGGGGCCCATGGCAGATTAGGGGCCTGGCAGCAGCTATGGGAGGCCCGTAATCTGCCAGCACCCTATGACAAAAAATGGAACACACCAGCAGTGTGTGAGAGACCTGAAAGTGGCACATGGCAGAGTGTGGCGATGGAGACAGCAGCAATGGGAGGCCGTACAGGGACCCATGAGAGACTCTGGACCTGGCAGCAGCATGAGGAGGCAGTACAGGGGGCCCATGGCAGATTAGGGGCCTGGCAGCAGCTATGGGAGGCCCGTAATCTGCCAGCACCCTATGACAAAAAATGGACACACCAGCAGTGTGTGAGGAGACCTGAAAGTGGCACATGGCAGAGTGTGGCGATGGAGACAGCAGCAATGGGAGGCCGTACAGGGACCCATGAGACACTGTGGACCTGGCAGCAGCATGAGGAGGCGGTACAGGGGCCCATGGCAGATTAGGGGCCTGGCAGCAGCAATGGGAGGCCCGTAATCTGCCAGCACTCTATGACAAAAAATGGAACACACCAGCAGTGTGAGGAGACCTGAAAGTGGCACATGGCATGACACACTGGGATGGTACCTGGACAGCCTGGGAGCATGAGGAGGCGCGGTACAGGGGCCCATGGCAGATTAGGGGCCTGGCAGCAGCTATGGGAGGCCCGTAATCTGCCAGCACCCTATGACAAAAAATGGAACACACCAGCAGTGTGTGAGGGGACCTGAAAGTGGCACATGGCAGAGTGTGGGCGATGGAGACAGCAGCAATGGGAGCCGTACAGGGACCCATGAGACACTCTGGACCTCTGGCAGCAGCATGAGGAGGCGGTACAGGGGCCCATGGCAGATTACCAGGGGCCTGGCAGCAGCAATGGGAGGCCTGAAAGTGCTGGCAGAGTTGGCCAGTCATGACCAAAAAATGGATACCAGCAGTTGGGGAGATGACAGAACATGATCATGAGCACTGTGTGGCAGACAGCAAAGTGGCACATGGCGGTACAGAGTGTGGCGATGGAGACAGCAGCACATGGGAGGCCCGTAATCTGCCAGGGTATGACAGACCCATGCAGAGAGGAGACCTGGACAATGGAGGCCGTACAGGGAACTGGGGACAGCATGAGGAGGCGGTACAGGGGCCCATGGCAGATTAGGGGCCTGGCAGCAGCTATGGGAGGCCCGTAATCTGCCAGCACCCTATGACAAAAAATGGAACACACCAGCAGTGTGTGAGGAGACCTGAAAGTGGCACATGGCAGAGTGTGGCGATGGAGACAGCAGCAATGGGAGGCCGTACAGGGACCCATGAGAGAGACACTGTGGACCTGGCAGCAGCATGAGGAGGCGGTACAGGGGCCCATGGCAGATTTAGGGGCCTGGCAGCAGCAATGGGAGGCCCATCTGCCAGCACTTCCTATGAGGCCCAGTAATCTGGGATTCTCTAGGCCAGTAATTGCCAGCACACATGGCATGGAACACACCAGCATGTGAGGAGACCTGAAAGTGGCACATGGCAGAGGAGGCGTGGACCCTGACAGCAGCAATGGAGCCGTACAGGGACCCATGGCAGATTAGGGGCCTGGCAGCAGCTATGAGGAGGCCCGTAATCTGCCAGCCCCTATGACAAAAAATGGAACACACCAGCAGTGTGGAGGAGACCTGTAAAGTGGCACATGGCAGAGTGTGGCAAAAATTGGAGACAGCAGCAATGGGAGGACCTGAACAGGGACCCATGAGACACTGTGGACCTGGCAAGTCAGCATGAGGAGGTGGTACAGGGGCCCATGGCAGATTAGGGGCCTGGCAGCAGCAATGGGAGGCCCGTAATCTGCCAGCACTCTATGACAAAATGAACACACCCAGCAGTGTGTGGAAGAGACCTGAAAGTGGCACATGGCATGGACAGAGTGTGGCGCCTGGCAGCAGCATGGGGAGGCTGGGGGTTTACAGGCAGGGTACTGGGACCTGGCAGCAGGATGAGAGGGCGATTAGGGGCCCATGGCAGATTAGGGGCCTGGCAGCAGCTATGGGAGGCCCGTAATCTGCCAGCACCCTATGACAAAAAAATGGAACACACCAGCAGTGTGTGAGGAGACCTGAAAGTGGCACATGGCAGAGTGGTGTGGCGATGGAGACAGCAGCAATGGGAGGCCGTACAGGGACCCATAGAGACTGTGGACCTGGCAGCAGCAGCATGAGGAGGCGGTACAGGGGCCCATGGCAGATTAGGGGCCTGGCAGCAGCTATGGGAGGCCCGTAATCTGCCAGCACCCTATGACAAAAAAATGGAACACACACAGCAGTGTGTGAGGAGACCTGAAAGTGGCACATGGCAGAGTGTGGCGATGGAGACAGCAGCAATGGGAGGCCGTACAGGGACCCATGAGAGACTCTGGACCTGGCAGCAGCACGAGGAGGCGGTACAGGGGCCCATAAAGATTACGGGCCTGGCAGCAGCAATCTGGAGGCCCGTAATCTGCCAGCACCCTATGACAAAAAATGGAAACACACCAGCAGTGTGAGGAGACCTGAAAGTGGCACATGGCAGAGTGTGGCGATGGAGACAGCAGCAATGGGAGGCCGTACAGGGACCCATGAGAGACTGTGGACCTGGCAGCAGCATGAGGAGGCGGTACAGGGGCCCATGGCAGATTAGGGGCCTGGCAGCAGCAATGGGAGGCCCGGTAATAATCTGCCAGCACTCTATGACAAAATGGAACACACCAGCAGTGTGTGAGGAGACCTGAAAGTGGCACATGGCATGACACACTGTGGGACCCATGAGACCAGGCTGGCAGCAGCAGCATGAGGAGGCGGTACAGGGGCCCATGGCAGATTAGGGGCCTGGCAGCAGCTAATGGGAGGCCCGTAATCTGCCAGCACCCTATGACAAAAAATGGAACACACCAGCAGTGTGAGGAGACCTGAAAGTGGCACATGGCAGAGTGTGGCGATGGAGACAGCAGCAATGGGAGGCCGTACAGGACCCATGAGAGAGACTCTGGACCTGGCAGCAGCATGAGGAGGCGGTACAGGGGCCCATGGCAGATTAGGGGCCTGGCAGCAGCTATGGGAGGCCCGTAATCTGCCAGCACCCTATGACAAAAAAAGTGAATACACCAGCAGTGTGTGTGAGGAGACCTGAAAGTGGCACATGGCAGAGTGTGGCGATGGAGACAGCAGCAATGGGAGGCCGTACAGGGACCCATGAGAGACTCTGGACCTGGCAGCAGCACGAGGAGGCGGTACAGGGGCCCAAAGGCAGATTACGGGCCTGGCAGCAGCAATCTGAGGCCCGTAATCTGCCAGCACCCTATGACAAAAAATGGAACACACCAGCAGTGTGTGAGGAGACCTGAAAGTGGCACATGGCAGAGTGTGGCGATGGAGACAGCAGCAATGGGAGGCCGTACAGGGACCCATGAGAGACTCTGGACCTGGCAGCAGCATGAGGAGGCGGTACAGGGGCCCACGGCAGATTACGGGCCTGGCAGCAGCAATGGGAGGCCCGTAATCTGCCAGCACCCTATGACAAAATGGAACACACCAGCAGTGTGAGGAGACTGAAAGTGGCACATGGCATGACACACTGTGGGGACCCATGAAAACCTCTGGACCTGGCAGCAGCATGAGGAGGGTTGGCGGTACAGGGGCCCATGGCAGATTAGGGGCCTGGCAGCAGCTATGGGAGGCCCGTAATCTGCCAGCACCCTATGACAAAAAATGGAACACACCAGCAGTGTGTGGAGGAGACCTGAAAGTGGCACATGGCAGAGTGTGGCGATGGAGACAGCAGCAATGGGAGGCCGTACAGGGACCCATGAGAGACTCTGGACCTGGCAGCAGCATGAGGAGGCGGTACAGGGGCCCATGGCAGATTAGAGGCCTGGCAGCAGCTATGGGAGGCCCGTAATCTGCCAGCACCCTATGACAAAAAATGTAACACACCAGCAGTGTGTGAGGAGACCTGAAAGTGGCACATGTTTGGGGGCATGATTCATGGCGGATTTAGTCAGTTGTGTGTCAGGAACTGGTGGTTTGAAATCCAGACTAATCCACGCCTGAAATTCATTTTCACAAACGTGAGTCTCTCCACACTTTGGGTGGACAGTCGTGTCCTCCGCGGAGCTACAATACCTCCTGCCGCACTAAACACACCGCTCCGATGCCACGCTACTGGCCGGGCATGACAGCCTTTCAAGGGCAAATTCAGCTAGTTGGGGCCAAAGGTCAAGTTTCGTTGCCCAGTAGTCAAGGGGATTGTCTACCTCTGTTGGCAGGGTGCTGTCCAAGTAGGCCCAAGCCTGTTGTTTGAGGTCCTGCTCCAGGTCCACCTGATGCTGCTGCTGCTGCTGCTGCGGCTGGTTAGTAAGTTTCCTCACTGCGCTGGTGAAAGAAAAGCTACTCATCATCGACTGCAGACTGAGGCAGCCGCTGCTGGTGGAGCTGCCACTGCTCCTACCACCCCACCCCTTCCCTGGCCCATGGCAGCGGAACGCGAGCGCACAGGGCCCACACAGTGTCTGAGGATAGGACGTTGGCGCCAAAGGCAGAGACCAACTGACTACATAGGTGGTTTTTATAGTACGTTTATTTGGGCCTCCCTCTCAGCAGGTGTGAAAAAGGCCACCATTTTTGAACGGTAGCGAGGGTCCAACAAGGTGGACAGCCAAAAGTCATCCCTCTGTCTGATGGTTATTATTCGGCGCTACCGGCAACAATGTCGCTACGCAAGCAAGCGAGCATGGCTATGGGCCATTTGTGTCAAGGAATGCGAGGGACTCCCTGCCTCCATCTCCACAGCATACTGCCACGGTGCGTCTGGGTCTCCTCCTCCTCCTCCTCTACCAGATGCTCCTGCTCCTCCACTCCTGTCCGCTGAGTGGAAAAACCACCCATTTCACTCAATAATTCCTGAGCACCAATGTCCCTCCTCTACCCTCCTCCTCTTCTTCCTGTCCTGCCCCCCGC